AGCCTACTCTCTCTGTGTTACATGCCTTTTGTACTTGGAAGTCCGTTTTCTTGGATTTAAAATCCTTGGCTCATACTTTCTTTTCTTGAATATCTTACTCAGTGGAGTACATTACTCCATTTTCTTTTGGCATGAATTATTGCTGTCAAAGTCTAGTGATACTTTAAACTTTCCTTTTGTGTGAGTCACATTTTTGTTTTTTTTTCCCCCTTAAGAAACTTTGCTAGAATGTATCACAGTGTTGGTCATTCCAGTTTGAATTTCTTGGGTATCTTGTAGTATGCTCTTTTGATACGTATTTTCAATTTTAAGAAAGTTCTTGAGTTATAATTTTTAGCATTTTCTTGGCTTTACTTTTCTTCAAAGACTCCTCTTATCCATTTTTTGGATGTTCTTTATCTTTTCTGGTATATTTTTTCTTTCTTAAATTTAAAGTTTACTCCTTTCACTTTCTATGTCTTGTAAACCATTATCTGTTTTCTGTATTCACTCTTATGATCTCCCTAACTTAGTCTTTGTTATTGAAATGGTTTTCTTTTTCATTTCTAATTATATCTTGAGGTCTGTCACATTTCTGAGCATTTCTGATTTTGATTTATGTTATTCCCTGTTGTCTATCATTTTAAAATGTCTTTCAGCTTGTTTTGAAATAGCAGGTAACAATTTTCATCTGTTGTATTGGCATGTCTTTCTCTTGTGCTTTTTTTCTCCATGGATGTTGTGCTAGTCCTTATTATTTATTTTTGTTAAAAACACTGTACAGGAGTTTACCTTGATACTTTTATTTTGCTTGGTTTTATGTGTGAAATTAGTTTTCCTCTACATTGATTTTTAGAAAGAGCCATGCATTAAAAAAATAAGCAAAGTACAAGAAGTTCAAGAAGTACAAATACTTGAACAGAGATAGCAGGAAAAGGCTTATTCTGAGGTCTTGAAAAGATGAATTAACTTTGTAATCCCCTTGTTAGTCTTTTGGGTGCTTATCTTGTTATCACTATATTCAGTGGGTAGCCCATTTTATCTGTTAACTATGTGCTTTTGAGATAACTATGCTAAGTTTTGAAAGCTTTCTCACCGACACAACTTTTAAAAAAATCTCACGTGTTTAACTTCCCTGCACCAGTCCTGGAACTGGCCTTTTCTATCAGAAACCCTTTTTTTTAAAGTAGGAAATACATTTATGTTCAGAACCTGGATCCATTGGACAGTTCAACTCAGTTTTTCCATGGCTTTCTCCTATTTGACCCTGTTTTTATAGTGTCCCAATTAGTAATTCTTGGTGAGCATAGAGTATGTTTTTATGAAATATGAATTTGTAGTATAGCAATTTAACTGTTGTATTTCTAATAAATATGTATTATACATTTTAATTTTTATAGATAGTTATTTCTGTCCTTCATTTGCAACATAAAACCTATTGTAAATTAAATCTCATTATTTCCTTAACATACTACTCAAACCTAACCATTTTTCCCATCCTTCTGTCAAAATTTGGCCAAGAACCATGAAGTCACTGAGTCTAGAAAATTAAAGGAATCTTAGAGCAGTGATTTCAGCTTTCATAATTTCTTTCCTGAGTATCATTGTTAAAAGTGTTTTCCAGTGATGATTAAAAAATGCCTACTTTTTTCATGATCATAAGACTTTTATCTGCATTCAGATATTATGTTTATTATTCATATTAAATTTACAAGGACCTTAAAAAGCATATTTTTACAAGTAAATTTGATTGCAGTTGCATGTGAAAAAGACTTACTGGTGATTAAGGGAAATGGATAATTAGATGGTTAACAAAAGATACAGGATTAACAGAAGAGTATCAGAAGGTTACTAGGGGATAAATTCTGGCCTAAAGTTCCAAATCACACAAACGACTTTATTCAAGAACCTGAGTACTTTTGAAACATGCTCCATCACTTCGCAGTTACCATGCTGTATTACCCTTACCTGATCTTTGGTTTTTTAGTCAAAGAATTATGGGAGTCAGGAGCTAAGATACTGCTTTCTCATTTTGCTTTAATTACATTTAAAGACTAACCCAGGGAGTACTACCAAAACATATAGATAAGAAGGTAGTTCATTGAAACCTCTGATCAGGAAGTTACCCAGCTTAAAACTGGTTATTTTTCTTTTCTGTTGGATGGGTCAAAGAAGGGCTACTAATGAGAACTGTTTTTCTTGATGACTTGCCTTTTGGGGTGAGTAATTTTCCTCAAATTAGAATGCATGAGGAAAATCAGTGGTTTCTGATCACTGGGATCCTGTTAAGCAGAAGTTTTATTGTACAGTCATAATGTATTTTGGATGTTCTCATTTATGTTGTTTTTTCAACTCTGTGCAGGTGTTCTGATTGCTTGATTACATCTACTTGGCATAACAGTATTTAAAATACCACAACATTTCTAATAAAAATTCCTCTACCTTAGCAAGTAAAATGAGAATATGGAAGGACAGTTGATAGCTGAACCATGATTGTTTGGGATAAAGAGAAATGAGTATGATTATCGCTGTTGTTTAGAATGACCAGTCTGCCCAGATGGAGACGTGGAGTATGTGGGGATGTAGGCCTACCGCTACCTGCCCCTCCTACAGAGCAGCTCTGCTTTTCATGTATTTTACATTTTTGGAGTTTCACATGTGACTTTTTTTTCTTTTTCTTTTAAAGAAGATAAGGTTGTATTCAAACTGCATACAACCACTTGGCAGAGTGGTACTTTATGAGCATCTCTGCAGCTGAAGAGTTTTCTTATCTAGCATTCTGCCATTTGTAACTGTAGATATTTGGGTTCCGGTAATATATTTTGGGATCCCATGGTCCTAGCCATCTTGTTATTCTAGGGCTCTCTTTTTATCAAGACTTCTGGATGGGAACAAGAACTAACAGTGTGGCACTCATCTTGGTGTTTTACATTATTATTCAGTCCTTCAGTCAAAGTTGCAAGGCAGTTGTTATCCCCATTGTCACACAAGCAAAAGGAGGCTTTAACTCAGAATCTGAAAATTGCAGTTTCTTCTGTCTTGCTCTTGGGCAGGAGGGAAAGTATACATCCTGAGTTTAAAGGCATTAACTTATGTACATTTTATTTGAATGATTTCATCTACAACTTTTAATTCCTCCCTAATTCCTTCCCAAATTTGATGCTGTGAAGAATCTGTATCTCGGCCTGGACTTACCTGAGAACCCCTGGAACTTTCCGTCTGCTTCCCGAGCAGGCATTTCCACCAGCATGTACAAAGTTGGAGTCATCATCTCAGCTCCCATATGTTAATCTCCTCATATATTCCTTCCGTGGATTCCCTGTTCTGCCTCTACTTCCTGCGCCGCATGGACGTAATCCTCTTGGGCCATGTGACCGAGAGGGCAATCCAAGAAACGCACTGCAGTTGTCACTCTGGGTAGTACAGTTGACCCCTGCCCATTGTGGGGTTGCGGGCACCGACCGCTCGCAGTCAGAAATGGGTGCGGAAGGGGAGCTGCGCGGTCCGCACCGTGTTGGTCCAGTGTCAGCTGTATTGTCATCAGGAGAATGCAGCTCCTTTCCCAAGTCAAGAGTCTTTTCAGGCAGCAATACCAGCAGATAGTATATGAGATGTAAGATACACACTTTTTCATTGTACGGACCTTGACCTTAGGTCATGGGAGAATTGATGGTGGTGATGCCCACCATACAATCTGGTTTTTCCTTTTTTATATTTAACCTCATTTCTTTACTTAATTCATTACCACAAGAAGCTCCTCCTTTAGACCTATGCCCAGACTCCTCCTAGACCATGTTCATGGTGGTGCTAACTGTCATGTATTTTGTTCTGTCCCTAATTAGTATTTACTGTGTTAGCATTTTCTTTACTGGAGTAACGTAAACACGAGAGGTGGATCCAATGTGGGGGAACTTAATGTGATTTATGCAGAGCAGTTTTTATTGAAACCATAACTCTACCTGGTAAAGTCCCAATTCTTGACTCATTTCTTGTAATCACAAAGATATAAACATGCTGTACTTTTGCTGCAAATGTTTATAATAAAAAAATGTGTACTCCACATACACACATAATAATATAGCATTTAAGATATGAAAAAATTCCCATTTGACACATTGAGATACATTACAGAGTCTTATTAAAACCTAAGCAAGACACAGCAAAAATTTTGTCTCAGACTCTTATTGAATCATGACACATAACAGTTTAATTCCAGTGTATCAGAAAATAAAAAACACCATCAAACTAGATTTATCAGGAATAGATCCTAGGCAGATAAAGTAAGAAGAAGGTAGAACTTCATAGAAATAGTAATAGATGACTAATAAGTTTTTTTTAAATGATTTTCATTTTATTGAAGTATCATTGCTATACAAGCTTATACTGGTTTCAAGTATGCAACACAGTGGTTCAACAGTTACTCATATTATTAAATCCTCACCCCAACTAGTGCAGTTACTATCTGTCAACATTACTAACGAGTTTTTGATTGCCATTTTGTGTATTTCTCTGAGGTGTCAGTGATCATGTTCCCTTGGGTTAGTTTATGTCCTGTGGCTTTCATCCCTGTTATCCTCTACATCTAGTGCAAAGCCTGGCATAGAGTTGGTATTCAGTAAAAATGGGTATTTGTGCTGAACTACATCCAATATACTGTGCTGAAGGGTGTTAACAATACAAAGACGTAGAAAGTATTTTAAAAGTGAACTTAATGTCGAGATTGGTTGGCAGGATACCATAGAAGTTGCTTTTCCAAATAATCCTGTTAACATCAAGCAGGAGTTCTTCGTTGCTTTTAGTTATTTTTCTTCAATCTGGCCTTTGTTTCATGTGTCTTTGTACACATGTACTATGTGCAGTACAGTATTAAATACTTTAATGTATTTGCTCAAATGCTTGCTTTTCAGTTTTTGGTATGTAAATAATTAGTAGGTGTGCATATGGATGTTAATAAAATTATGACTCCATATCAAGCACTGTAATGTTTTTTGTTACAAATTTCTACTTGTGTTTCTCCACAGGCAGCAGAAGATGTCATTTTCATTGGACCTGACACTCATGCTATTCAAGCCATGGGTGACAAGATTGAAAGCAAATTACTAGCTAAAAATGCAAAGCTTAATACAATCCCTGGCTTTGATGGAGTAGTCAAGGTGAGAAATTATTTTACTCTAATCCTTATAGTACGTATCTTCAGGTCAACCATTTTGTCAGAAGTGTAAGACAAAATGCAGTTTTTTTATTGCTTTTTAAAATATACATGTGTAGGTTAAAAAAATGTTTATACTTGGATTATTTTAAGTGGCGTAAGTTAAAAAGAGCAAGGCACCACTCAAGCACTGTATTTAGTGGTAAGTGTTGACTCATACTGTCATAGGAAAAAAACTTGGTAAAAAATTTTTAAATGTGCTATTAGATCCCTGGATTTCATTTACCAGTGGTATATATTTAATGTTTGAAACATTATGATGTTCTCTGTGTGTCTTTAGGTTGAACTTCTTGTCCATATGCATAAAATGTAACATGTCAACATGTTTTTGGTGGAAAGTGGCATAGCTACGGATGACTGTAGACCCTAAACATAGCTCCTCCACCAGAAGCAGCTTCTGCAGCTGAAGGCTTCTAAGAAATGCAAGAATTGGAGTGTATGTGTGTCCCTTCTCTCCCAGCCCCATGTCTGCAAAAATTACCCATTTGTTTCTCATTAGAAGAGTCTCTGTATAGACTTTAACCTGGTGATTTGAGTTCATCTGCAAGAGCTCATCTCAGTGTTTCTTACTATTAGTTTTTGGGCTGGGCAGTTCTTCATTGTGTAGGATCATTTCACATGTTACAGGACAGTTCACAGGCTTGACCCCTGCGTGATAGATAAGCTCATCCTCTTGCCCATATTTACCTAACCTGTATTCATCCATTTTTCTTCTCTCTTACAAGAAGAGGTATTCCCCATCCTCTAGAAAGCCTCTTCTTCCTCTTATTGCCAGATGTACCCTTTATATCCTCTTTGGGCTACAGCGTCATGGGTTATCTGTTCTGTATTCCACATCATAAAACTCTCCTTGTCTGTTAGCTCCTTTCCCTGACCATTGCTATTAAAAATGCTTAGTCAGTCAACAAATGTAGTGATCACTGGGCTCCGTGGTGGGAAGCACATGGTGATAAACCAGGTACCCATGATTCCTCACATCGTGGTGGTTCCAGTCTAGTGGGAAGAAGTATGTGTTCCTCCTCTGCATAGAACACAATCACCCCTTGTCATTCCCCAGCTGCCACCTTAGTTAACTTCCCTTTCACAGCCATGTGCCTTAGAAGAATTGTCTTTACTCGCTTTCATTGCACCTCATCTTTAATCTTCTGAAGTCTGGCTTCTTTCCTCATTCTTGCTGAAATTTCTCTTATGAAGAAATCTGCCAGCAACCTCTCCAGCTCTCTAACTCCAATATGTAATTTTTAATCCTTGTCTTTCTCAATCTCTTTGAAGCTTTTGAGTCTCTTGGTCACCTTTAACCTTCTCAAAATACTCACCTTTGCACACTACTCAGTCCTAGCCTTGTTTTTGTATTTTTTGCCTTGTTCGAGTGCTCCTTCATAGTTTTCATGCTGCTTGTTCTTCCTGTCTTTGTTCCTTAAATGTTGGTTTTATTCTGGGTTACGAGTAGGGCATAGTGCACAAACTTGCCTTGGGCAATCTTTCTTATTTTGTGGCTTCAAATCTCAAACTTATGTCTGTTCTGGATATCTCTTCCGAACTTCAGAGCTATATATCCAGTTGCTTATTAAACAGCTCTACTTGGTGCCCTTAAGGCACCTTGAAAATAACAAGTTGAAAGGAGAACAAGGGATTGGCAAATTGGCTCCATGCATGCCTGTTTTTGTAAATAAAGTTTTATTGGAACATAGCCACACTCATTTCTTTACATATTGTATGTGGCTGCTTTTCCACTATAATGGCTGAGTTGAGTGATTGTGGCAGAGGCTATATTGCTCATAAAGCCTGAAATATTTACTACCTGGCCCATTCAGAGAAAGCTTATTGACTCCTGCTATAAACTTTTCATCCTTCATTCTTTCCCACCTGAGAATGTGGTGGTATTTTCCACATGTCTCTCAAGCTAGAAACTTGGAGTCATTCTTAATAAATACTGTTACAGAGAATTCACTTAAATTATCTTCTGATCCATTTACTTTGTTTCCTTGTGCTAACACCAAGTTCTTGTTACCATCAGTAATTTGGATTACTTCACCAACCTTCTAACTGGTCTCCTTATAGCCAGTCTTGGCCCTATCCAATTAATTTTTGACACTGCAGCCTGAGTGATCTTTCAGAAATCCAGATTTGATCTTATGCTTGTGTTTTAAAACTCTTGAATGACTGTTCATTTAAATCCTTTAAAGTAGCTGGCTTTTGTTTCTCTCTTCAAACTGGTATTGTGCCAGGTTACCCTTTGCACTGTATGTACCAACCATATATGATATCTTTCAGATTCTTAAAACTTCTGTACTTAATTCTCTCATATGTGTATTGATTCTGCTTCTGTCTTCGTTCCTGTCTCCTCATTGTTTAGGTCTTGGCTTAAACATACATCCCTCACAGAGACCTATTCCTTGACTATCTGATTAGACCCTCTGCTGTATTTTCCCGTAGAACCCTGCACTTCACCCATCACATTTTGAATCATTCATTCATCTGTTCAGTAAATATTTAACAAGTGCATACTATTTGTCCAACATTATTTGAAGTACTGTGGATATAGTAGTGAACAAAACAGACCAAAAAAAAAAAATCCCACCCTCATGGAGCTTATGCTTTCAAAGGAGACAGACAATAAACAAATACAATATATAGTATGTGCTCTGGTGAAACATAAGACAGGGAATGGGGGAAGGGAGTGCTGGAAGGTGGGGTCTAGTCACAATTTCAGATAGGTTTTACAAACCGTCTAAAGAGGTGACAGAGCAAGTCCTGTGGACACCAGAGAGAAGAGCAAGGCATACTAGGCAGAAACGGTAATAACCACTCAACGGTGTTCAATGTAAGTGCGCTTGTTGTTGGACAAACAGCAAGGAATCCTGTGGCTGGAGTGCTAAGGAAGAGACAACTAAGTGATGAGGTAAGATGTATAGTAGGGAGCTCAGATTTTATTAGCCTTTTTGGCCATTTAGTGGTGTGTTATTAATGTCTGCCTCCTGCACTGGATTGTAAGCTCCTTGCTGGCAAGGACTGTGCTCCGTTTATCATTGCAGTCACACGTGCACATGGTGGACAGCACATTGTGCTCACTAAATGCTTGTTGGATGGTTAATGTTCTGGAGGTAGATTTTACACACATAACTGTTATATGCACATTATCTGTCATTTGGTGCATATTTATTAGGCAGCAAAAGAAAGGAGCACATAACTAAAAACCAAAAGGAAAAAAAATACAATAGAAATAGATGACATATGTTCTAGATACTGGAGCTGGCTGATAAAGACTGAAATAACTGATCAGTATGTTAAGGAAACTTGAGGAAAATGCTGGCAAAATAGGTAACCAAATAAAGAATTTCACTGAGAATTTGAATTAATAAAAAAGTTAAGTTGAGATTCTGTTAACTGCAGATAAAGGAAAATAAGAACTTTAGATAGGTTTAACAGTAAACTAAGGAGAATATAGGATCCATGTTGTAGTATGTATCACTTTTCATTCCTTTTTATGGATGAATAATTTTTCATTATATGACTAAACCACTTTTTAAAAATCTAGCTATCAGTTGATGGACATTTGAGTTATTTCCATCTTTTGGTGGTGGTAGATAGTGCTGCTGTGAACATTTGTGTGCAAGTATTTATTGAGTAACTGGTTTAAATTCTTTTGGGCATATACCCAGGAATAGAATTGCTGGGTCATACGATAATTCTACATTTAACTTTTTGAGGAACCAATGGTCATCCAAGTCTTTGTGTAATCCCCTCCTCTTCAATTTGGGTAGAACCTATGATGTGCCTTCCTAACTAATGTGGCAAAGGGTGATGGTATGTCACTCCTTTAATTAGGTAAATTGTATAAGGCAAAAGTGATGGGCTGTCAGTCACTGCAAGGTAATTGGATGTCACTCCTGTGACTATGCTTCATGTAAGACCCCATCTTAGGAGACTGAGGAACAGGTTCTAGTTGCTGGCTTGAGGAGGTAAGCAGCCATATTGAGGAAGCCTACATGGCAGTGAACTGCAGGCAGCTTGTAAGGATGTGAGTGAGGGTGATCTCCATCTGAGAGGCAGCAAAAAGGTGGGACCCTCAGTCATATAGCCACAAGGAAGTCAGTTCTGCCAACCACCTGAATGAGCTTGGAATTGCCCCATTTGAGCCTCCAAATGGACATGCAGTCTCACCCACACCTTGATCGCAGCCTTGAGAGACCTGAGCAGAGTATGACCCACCAGTCTTTTCTTTATTAGGCTGTGCACTATTGGATTCTAGTCTTTCTTTACCTTCTCGTTTTAGAGAGTTACGCAAGTTTGGGTAGTGGTGTGGATGCGTTTTTATGAACCTTGACCTGTTCAACTCCAGTACTTCTACTAGTATAATCCTAACTTTTTCTAATGAGAAATCTGGCCTTCTTGAGATCTTCAGTTTGGGCTGGAGGGTAGTGATGAGTCAGTCCAAATCAGTTCTGCCTTGATCATGAGTAGCACGGTCCTCAGGAGTTAAGGGAGAGGTCATCAGGAGAGCTCCCATAGAGTCTTTCCTCTGAGGTCAGTGGGTGTAGTGTCTCATAGGAAGAAGGCATGGTCCTTGAATAAAGGTCTGAAGGTGACAGTCGTGGGCTGGGACATGGGAAGTGGGAAGAGTACTGAGAGTACTTTGTTGACTCTGAGAGAGCGCTGTGTAACAGCGGCAGGATTTAAGGTTAATAGTGTGCCACCTGTGTCAATAATTAATAATTATTGAAATTTCTCCTCTGTTAATGGATAAAATGGGAAATGGGTACTTAATTCACTTTTGGAACATGAGTTTTTTTGTTTTTTTTCCTTCATTTCTTGGCTAAAACAGCACAATTATTTATCCGTTGGCATTTCTGTGTACCATTATCTACAGGTGTCTTTATCAAAAGACTGAATTTCTGGAATAAGAGTATGTAGTTTTATCTGTAAGGCCATTAGTTTATTCTG